TCGCCGGGAGCCAGGCGGGCAGCTCTGCGCCCCTCGGAAGTGCCGCGATTTGGGCACGTTTGCCCTGGGGATCCCCTTCCAGGGGCATGTCGTCAGGTGGAGAGGCTTGGAACGAGGACCGCGACACTGGAGGGACGAAGGAGGGAAAAAAAAATCAAAACGCGGAGGGAGAGATGCCCTGAAGCGGCCGAGTGGACCGGAGAGGACAGGGCCAGGACCCGTCGGGACGTGGGCAGCGCGGCCACTTTGTCCGCGCTACACAATGCCCACCGTCGGGAGAGAGCGTTTTGCCATTTTTCGCTCTATTTTTCTTCTCTTCTCTTCTCTTCTCTTCTCTTCTCTTCTCTTCTCTTCTCTTCTCTTCTCTTCTCTTCTCTTCTCTCTCACATTTTTTTTTTCCGCGGGGAAAACCACCGAAGTCGAAATCAAAATTGAAATCGGATCAAAAATGCTTTACATTTATATATATATGTATTTTCGGCGCCCTTATAGGAAGTAGGAAGTATAGAAACGTGGGTAATATACGCTGTGGTAATCCTATTTCTAGGTCTAGATCAGATCTCATTGGGGCCTTTGCTGAAGGACATAAATGAGTTGTTCTAATACAATAGATTTCATCCTTCCTACAGGGACTGGCTGACCAGCGGTTTTGTTAAAAGTGAATGCGAATAGATTTCTGCTACAAGTGCAGCATTATTATTATGAGCTGTAAGGTCAGACTATACATTCCGGGTCCCCAAAGCCTATAGACCCTGGGAAATGCGCGGGATATACCACGTCATTGTACCTGACAGTCTCTTCAATAGACTAATTCAATTATCGCTTGGGGATTCAGTCTTCATTGAGAGCAATAACAGCAGTGTAATTCGTTGGTAAATAGGTATTGGAAACGGCCCGGCTCGAAACTTTTTCGGGGCACCGGTTTATACCTCGGGAATCCCCATCCCCTGCGTGCCCGAGCGAGGGGAGCGGGCAGGGGGGAAGGAAGGGGCTGCTTTTATTCGGCTGGAGGCCGCGCTGCGGCAGGGGCCGCGCGGCCTTTGAACCTCTGTGAAGGGTGACATTTAATTTTATTTATTTCATTTTTCTCTTCTCCAGCCCCTACCTCTCCACAGGGGATTGGAGACAAAGATATCCCATGGAAGTTTCTGGGGAAGGTGAGAGAAAACTCTTTTTTGCTATTCTGAGCATTAATATTGGTTTCTTTCTCTCTTTTTCTTTCTTTCTTTCTTTCTTTCTTTCTTTCTTTCTTTCTTTCTTTCTTTCTTTCTTTCTTTCTTTCTTTCTTTCTTTCAAGAAAAGATGAAAAAAATAAGAGAAAAGAGAACGGGAAAACAAGAAGAAAGGGAAAATAAAATGGGAAAGAAGAGGCAAAAGAAAAATAAAATGAGGAAATGAAATAAACGAAAAGAAAGAGGAAGAAAAGGGATAGAGAAAATGGAGAAGGAAACGGATCAGGAAAAAGAGAAAAGAAAAAAGGGAAAAATACGGAAAACGAAAGGTAAGCGAAGATAAAGAATAAGGAAAGGAGAAAAATAAAATAAACTAAAGGAAAAGAAAATAAAGGAAAAGAAACGAATAAAAAAGTAAAGAAGGCAAAAGAAATGAGGAGAAGAAAAGAGAAAAGAAAAGAAAAGAAAAGAAAAGAAAAGAAAAGAAAAGAAAAGAAAAACCGTAGATTTCCAGTGGCCTGGCTGCAACCCCCCTTTCCATCTGTTTCCCAACGCTTCCCCCCTCCCCCCCCCGTATCTGCAGCCCACCCCACCTCGCTACAAGCAGGAAAAGTCACCTGGATAGGTCGCCTTGGGAAGGAGCAGCACTCGCCGACGCGTCTCCCTGGCTGCCCCGGCAGGGAAAACATCCGAGACGGGCAGCGACATCCTCCCGGCAGGCGAGCAGTCCAAGTGGCTTCTTTTGTAGCCCCATCTGCCTCCCCGACAATCTGGTTTAGGTTACAGGGAATGTTTCCGAAGCCTCTTTACCCCACTCGGGGTCAGCTTCTCCCGTCCCTCCCCAAGCGCAGGGCCAGCAGGACTGAAAGTTTGGAGCCCGCTTTGAGTCCGCATCCAGCTCTGCTTCATGCGCCTCATTTTTTTTTTTTTACTCTTTAAGCAGTGTCAGACTCGCTCGCACCCATTTACATTTTTGAAGATGTTTTCAATTTCCTCCGGCTCTCCCTACCTATGTCTCGCCCTGCTTCTGGGTCTGCTGGGGGAACAAATAAATAAATAAATAAATAATCAAAGGGTGTGTGTGTGTGTGAAGGGAAAGGCTCGGGGTTGGGGTTTTTTTTTTGCAAGAGGCGCTGCCTCACCCCCGGCCCCCTTGCGC